TCCCTCTCTACCACTTTTTTTTTTTTTTTTTTTTTGCTTACATTTACTTACTCCTTGCATCATTTCCTCTCTGTCACATTCACTGTTTCAGTTCTACTCATTTGTCTCAGTCTTGGTAACATAGCGTTGCTCTTTAGTCTCGTTCCAGTTTGTGTTATTATCCAGTGTCCTGGCCACTCTAGATTCATCATAGTGGATGATCTCTCAATCTCTGCATGTGTTGGGTTCACTCAGCATCTGTCTCAGCTGGAGTACTCGTGGCTCTGTTGGTAGCGTTATCAGCTCCCACACTGAGGGACCAGGGCTCGATTCCCTGCACGAGTGAAAAAGTTAGGGATGTTTCCTTAACCTGACGTCTGTCCCTGCTTACATAGCAGTATGTACCCGGGTATTACTTGCCTTACTCCTGCTGCCACTGTTCACCTAGCAGTAATTAAGTACCTGGTGTTAGTAGACGAGTCGCATCCTTGGGGAGAGAATCCAGTAACAGTAATGGAAATAAGCCATACAGTGGCTTTTTCTGGAGTTATCCTGGGTTACTAACCCTCCGGGTTGATCCTAACAAAATCTTAATTCAGACTTAACCACTTGTTACTTAAACTAGTCAGACTTTTTATTTTACGGTCAAAATATTTGAAGATATTAATGTTTATATTTGGGAAAAATGAAAATTGAGACCATTTCAATGGTTATAAATGTTTAGTTTGATTTGAAGTATTTACTTCAGGGTTTTGATGTTTCTTAGACATTTGGAAGTGCGAGCTCTCAGTAGTAGTACCAGTACCAGTAACCAGTAAGTATGACTCACTACCAACCGTCTCTGCGTGAATCACTGTCTGTATTCATATTGTTGCTGACCACAGCAGTATTCAAACACCCCCTCACATATGGGTACTGGGGTTAGTTAGTCTTATGAGAGAGAGCAAGGAGGCAGGTCACCGGCTGTTTGGCCTTTCCCACATTATCCGTAATATACGTACTTCCAGCCTACGTGAGTATTTCTTTACCCTATCCACGTGTTCGAACCCCACATGATACCTATGTGCGGGTTATTTGTGTATCCCCAAGAGAGGTATCCCCTATATTAAGCTTGGACAGAGCGTAACATTGTCCTGTTAAAATATTGTTGTAGTACACGTGTGTGTGTGTGTGTGTGTGTGTGTGTGTGCGTGTGTGTGTGTGTGTGTGTGTTGTGTGTGTGTGTGTGTGTGTGTGTGTGTGTGTGTGTGTGTGTGTTTACTGGCGATTCACCATGTAAATAGGAGTATCGTAGTTGGCACACCTTTCCTTGGTAAACACCTTTGTTATTGTGTATACTAGAAGTACATTTACTGTGACCACATAACAAGACAATTTCACTGCCCTTGTTTCTATATAGTATTGATGGAAGTATTTGGAGGGAGGTGGTTAAGGGGTGTCCTAACACTGGAGGCAAGATGGAGGGAGGTGGTTAAGGGGTGTCCTAACACTGGAGGTAAGATGGAGGGAGGTGGTTAAGGGGTGTCCTAACACTGGAGGTAAGATGGAGGGAGGTGGTTAAGGGGTGTCCTAACACTGGAGGTAAGATGGAGGGAGGTGGTTAAGGGGTGTCCTAACAACACTGGAGGTGTGAAGGTAAGATAGAGGTTAAAGCTATGTCCTAACAGCGCCAGCATTAATATCCCTTTAGCCAGTCTATCCTGCAAAGCTCTTGACAAATTACGTCAACAGTGGACGTAACTCCTCGATACATTCACTCTCTCTGGCAGTGTTTGATCAGCAGTGGGACGCTAAATGCTCTTATTAATGATGTGGAAGAGAAAGTGAACGCCTGCCTCCCCTTCGCGCCATTTTTTTCCCCGCCCTTTTTTCTGCCGCTTTTTTTCTCCCGCTGTTTTATTTTCCCGCCTTTTATATCCCGACTGGGGTTGGAGGTCTTTTCAGAGAGGGAAGATTATATTAATGATCTGGAGTATTGAGTTGGTAGATTGTAAATGTGCAGCGGAAACTGATGGATGGACTGTCTCGTGGACTGACACTAGCCTAGCTACTGGCTAAACTCATCCACCACACCAGACTGATGGATGGACTGTCTCATGGTCTGACACTAGCCCAGTTACTGGCTACACTCATCCACCACACCAGACGGAAGGACTGTCTCATGGTCTGACACTAGCCCAGTTACTGGCTAAACTCATCCACCACACCAGACTGATGGATGGACTATCTCATGGTCTGACACTTGCCTAGTTACTGGGTACACTCATCCACCACACCAGACGGAAGGACTGTCTCAGGTTGACATAGCAGTTACTGGCTAACTCATCCACCAACCAGACTGAGGAGGACTTTCATGGTCTGACACTTGCCTAGTTACTGGGTACACTCATCCACCACACCAGACGGAAGGACTGTCTCATGGTCTGACACTAGCCCAGTTACTGGCTACACTCATCCACCACACCAGACGGAAGGACTGTCTCATGGTCTGACACTAGCCCAGTTACTGGCTACACTCATCCACCACACCAGACGGAAGGACTGTCTCATGGTCTGACACTAGCCCAGTTACTGGCTAAACTCATCCACCACACCAGACTGATGGATGGACTATCTCATGGTCTGACACTTGCCTAGTTACTGGGTACACTCATCCACCACACCAGACGGAAGGACTGTCTCATGGTCTGACACTAGCCTAGTTACTGGCTACACTCCTTGACGTTTCCCCACGCAATTAGCTTGATCATTGGGGATCATGGGGAAGCACTAACCCCGTAAGGACCATACCAAGCCTAAGGAATAGAAAGCATTCAAGAAGCAGAAAATTGCTCTCAATTCCTTTGATCAAAAGCCCTTCACCCTCTTTGCTACAGCTAACCTTGACTGGAGCTAAACCACTGTTGCTAACTAGTCAGTTCCCTCGTACATTGTTTTTTGCAAAGGCGATTGAAAAAAGTACATTAAAAATTTAATATCTCGTGGAAGGGGCCTTCCTAGTACACGATATTCAGGTTCTGACGGTCTTTTTCAGTTGCATTTACATTAGATTAACATATAGACGAGCTTTATAAGATAGCTGACTACACACACACAACTTTAAGAGCTAACCGTATCGAGAAGCTTTATAAGACAGCTGACTGGATATGAACTTTATAAGAGCAGATTGTATATACAAAAAACAGCAGAACCGTTAAGTATCAATTTGGGTCCTTACGCTTCAAGCTTTATCTGTTATTGTAACTTAAAACCTGCTAATTTCCGTAAAGGCTCCTGGTCCAAGGAATCGGAGTTGCATTTTTTTGCTATCCTGCGATCATACTTTTATCTCTCATTTCCGAGACTCTCTTAATGCCCCTCCCCCTTCCTTTCTTAAAGAGTTTAGTGCTTCCTCAAGGAGTATACGAGGTAAGAGAGAAGCTGATAAAGGTCGTACAGCATTCTCTCTCTCTCTCCTAGTGAAATATATCTCCTCAGGGCAGAGGAGACTTACACGACAGTAAAGAGAGTTTCGTGCACCATAAATCCCTTGATGCTATATTAGCCTCAGATTCCCTTAATCACTCACATTTTAAATCCATTTAGACTCTTACCTCGCCAGATTTACATAGCAAACATGTCATAATTTTAAGCTTATCGCTAGTTATCCCCAAGAAAACTTAGGAGAAAAGAAAATAACATAAAACATGAATTTAAGGAGGATATATTGTGAGGAAAGGTGTATGTGTAGCCATCTTGGGGGTTGGAATTATTCCCGTGGAGATGCATACTGCCAGTCCCCACGGGTTAAGCGCTATACAGTGTGTGTGTATGTATATATATATGTGTGTGTGTGTGGCGCGCGTGCATGCTGAATACGTACAACTTAGGATTTTGGCTTAAATAGCAACGCTCTTCTTGCCAAATAAGGCAAGCGAAAATTTGTGTATGCAATAATTTCGCAAAAATCGTTCTGAACCTAACGAAAAAACGTATTTCATTGCTTATTACTAAATTATTGTAAACTTGTCTAAAATATATTTAGTTGGATTAGGCTAAACTAAATTGCGCTTGTTATAATAAGGTTAGGCAAATTTTCTAAGGTTCTTTTGGTACAAACTTGTTAATTTTTACATAACCATAAAAAAATACATCTTTAAACGTACAAGAGAAAATTTTAGAAAGGACTTAATTTTAAATGAGTTCTTGCTAATTGACCAATTTTACTTATTCGGCACGATATATATATATATATATTATATATATATATATATATATATATATATATATAATATAATATATATATATATATATATATGGGGTGGTACCACTTACATATATCATCACACACACGTGTGTGTAGCAGGAAGATAAGTACCACCTGAAAACTAAGGATATTTTATTATGATTGTCGTTTAATATATTCATAATATTATGATTAAAATATAATGGTTTGTATAATCCCTATATGAAAATAGTGACTGTCCGATCATCAAAAATATGAATAATTAACCACTGAAAAAAAAAGATGCAAGATTGAACTTAGGATTATGTTTGTCAAGTGTTTTATCTTATGATTAAACGATGGTTAAAAAAAAAAAAGATTAACAATCTTTGGGTAAGTACTTTATCATTAATGAATATTTCAGCTTGGCACATAGACGTTTACTGTTCATGAATAAACAAAATAATGAATGGGAACTCGAAGTGGTACTTGGGAAGCGACAGTTGAGTTACAGCTGGTGACCACTGGTGTAGATGTGGTTTATGAAAGCTTCCTGTTGTAGGCCTCGTAGCTCATTGGTAGACCACTGGCCATGCTACCTGTCAGGAGGAATGGGGATATGTCCCAGGAAGGGGATTCAAGAGGCTTTGAGTTTTATGGGCTTGAGCATCCAGCAGGCTTGTGTGATCGTGTTAGGTATGAATATACAAAAGAGGTTTTTAATGGACGTGTATAACTCTCACACTCGCACATACCAGGATATTTCGATTGTGTTTGTTTTAAATCATTCCCCTGAAACATTGTATATTTTTTTCAGGAGCTACATTGTGATTTGTGGAGTGAAAGGCTGGCCTGGAAAACATGCAAAGCACCCACGTACTGCACTGGTGACATACACTTTGAAGGAGACGGCTCTCTTCCCGTGATCCACGGAACAACATTTAAGGTAGAGTATATTAATTCATTATAGGTATTAATATATTTTTCCATGCGTTTATCGTTGTCGACCACGTACTAAACATAATCCAGTAGTGACCTCCAAGCTACAACAATCTGACTCGGCTCTACCACGCCTGACCATCAAACAGTTTTGCAGGTTATGTTTTATGACTGGTTATTACAGGACGGCCACGTTAACTCTCTTTTTCAAGCACATTAGAAATATAGCACACTCGGTCTCGTACTCTTGGAGATCAGTATTAGCATAAGTGTTCCGTAGGTCTGGAACCATAGGGAGAAATTTAAAAACAGAGGCAATAATTTTTTTTTATTTGTAAAGTATTCAGTGTCTCCACCTATATTGATACATAATAGAAACGAAACACGAGTACTACCAATGATGGTGCTACATGGGTGTGCCACAGGTCTGGAATATATAGACGCATATAACACCATTCCTAACACTATTCGTCACAAACTGTTGACTGCGTTCCTATGCCACCAACAGCAGTAGACACATTGAATAAAAGCGGATGAAACAAGTGGAAGTTCTAAATCAACAATCTCTCAGGTTAAAAGCTAATGATTATGTAAACAGATCCTTGCAATTTCTAATGTCCTCTTTATGGAGATCACAAATATGGTTAAAAATCACGAAACAATCTTGTTAGGAGGAAGTGTGGTTGTTACCTTGCCTCGCTTAGACAGGCGATATGTACCTCCACAGTGATTAGAAACGTAGAAGTGACCAATACCACAGTTAAATATGGGAAAGTTTTCTAAGCTTTGTGTCTGAGAATGCTCTAGCGATCTACAAGTTGCATCAGTTTTCCATTCATTTACAGGTTAAGATAAAATTTTTAATAATTATTTCAAATTTTTACATTAGTGTTAATTATATCCCTTAGGCAAGAAAAATTACAATTAATTATCCTTTTCAGGTCTTCCCAAGATGGACGTATGGAACACTACCTGGAGACCCTACAAATTTCGAGACGAATACGAGGAATTTTTGGAACTCTTGTCTAACAGGATGTAAATCCTCAACTACACATACGCACATGTAACACACTTCTAGTTTAACATGAGCTCAGTCCCTGAACAGGAGGCCATATGTCCCCAACCACGTGCAGCTAGTCCCTGAGCAGGATTATCAGTTTTAAACTGTTCCCTGACGTACAGGCTACGTGAAGGAGGCCCTACACCCTGACATACTGAACACGGGCAGCTAGTCCCTGAGCAGGATTATCAGTTCCGACTGTTTCCTGACATACAGGCTACGTGATTCAGTCCCTGTGCAGGAGGGCATCAACCAAATCTTTCAGTGGGCTGCAGAAAACAATATGAAGTTCAACGATGAGAAATTTCAATTACTCAGATATGGTAAACATGAGGAAATTAAATCTTCATAAGAGTACAAAACAAATTCTGGCCACAAAATAGAGCGAAACACCAACGTCAAAGACCTGGGAGTGATCATGTCGGAGGATCTCACCTTCAAGGACCATAACATTGTATCAATCGCATCTGCTAGAAAAATGACAGGATGGATAATGAGAACCTTCAAAACTAGGGAGGCCAAGCCCATGATGACACTCTTCAGGTCACTTGTTCTATCTAGGCTGGAATATTGCTGCACACTAACAGCACCTTTCAAGGCAGGTGAAATTGCCGACCTAGAAAATGTACAGATAACTTTCACGGCGCGCATAACGGAGATAAAACACCTCAATTATTGGGAGCGCTTGAGGTTCCTAAACCTGTATTCCCTGGAAACGCAGGAGGAGAGATACATGATTATATACACCTGGAAAATCCTAGAGGGACTAGTACCGAACTTGCACACGAAAATCACCCACTACGAAAGCAAAAGACTTGGCAGACGATGCACCATCCCCCCAATGAAAAGCAGGGGTGTCACTAGCACGTTAAGAGACCATACAATAAGTGTCAGGGGCCCGAGACTGTTCAACTGCCTCCCAGCACACATAAGGGGGATTACCAACAGACCCCTGGCAGTCTTCAAGCTGGCACTGGACAAGCACCTAAAGTCAGTTCCGGATCAGCCGGGCTGTGGCTCGTATGTTGGTTTGCGTGCAGCCAGCAGCAACAGCCTGGTTGATCAGGCTCTGATCCACCAGGAGGCCTGGTCTCAGACCGGGCCGCGGGGGCGTTGACCCCCGGAACTCTCTCCAGGTAAACTCCAGGTATACCAGTCACGGCAGCTAGTCCCTGAGCAGGATTATCAGTTCCGACTGTTTCCTGACATACAGGCTACGTGATTCAGTCCCTGTGCAGGAGTGCCTGACATACCAGTCACGGGCAGCTAGTCCCTGAGCAGGATTATCAGTTCCGACTGTTTCCTGACATACAGGCTACGTGCAACTGGTCCCTGAGCAGGAGGCCCTAAAATACACCCTGACATACTGGCCACGGGCAGCTAGTCCCTGAGCAGGGTTCCAGCATAGCTGGTCCCTGACATACAGGCTACGTGCGCTCAGTCCCTGAACAGGAGTGCCTGACATACTGGCCACGTGCAGCTAGTCCCTGAGCAGGGTTCCAGCATAAGCTGGTCCCTGACATACAGGCTACGTGAGCTCAGTCCCTGAACAGGAGTGCCTGACATACTGGCCACGTGCAGCTAGTCCCTGAGCAGGGTTCCAGCATAAGCTGGTCCCTGACATACAGGCTACGTGAGCTCAGTCCCTGAACAGGAGGCCCTACACCCTGACATACTGAACACGGGCAGCTAGTCCCTGAGCAGGATTATCAGTTCCGACTGTTTCCTGACATACAGGCTACGTGCATTCAGTCCCTGTGCAGGAGTGCCTGACATACCAGTCACGGGCAGCTAGTCCCTGAGCAGGATTATCAGTTCCGACTGTTTCCTGACATACAGGCTACGTGCAACTGGTCCCTGAGCAGGAGGCCCTAAAATACACCCTGACATACTGGCCACGGGGAGCTAGTCCCTGAGCAGGGTTCCAGCATAGCTGGTCCCTGACATACAGGCTACGTGAGCTCGTCCCTGAACAGGAGTGCTGACATACTGGCCACGTGCAGCTAGTCCCTGAGCAGGGTTCCAGCATAAGCTGGTCCCTGACATACAGGCTACGTGAGCTCAGTCCCTGAACAGGAGTGCCTGACATACTGGCCACGTGCAGCTAGTCCCTGAGCAGGGTTCCAGCATAAGCTGGTCCCTGACATACAGGCTACGTGAGCTCAGTCCCTGAACAGGAGGCCCTACACCCTGACATACTGAACACGGGCAGCTAGTCCCTGAGCAGGATTATCAGTTCCGACTGTTTCCTGACATACAGGCTACGTGCATTCAGTCCCTGTGCAGGAGTGCCTGACATACCAGTCACGGGCAGCTAGTCCCTGAGCAGGATTATCAGTTCCGACTGTTTCCTGACATACAGGCTACGTGCAACTGGTCCCTGAGCAGGAGGCCCTAAAAATACACCCTGACATACTGGCCACGGGCAGCTAGTCCCTGAGCAGGGTTCCAGCATAGCTGGTCCCTGACATACTGGCTACGTGCGCTCAGTCCCTGAACAGGAGTGCCTGACATACTGGCCACGTGCAGCTAGTCCCTGAGCAGGGTTCCAGCATAGCTGGTCCCTGACATACTGGCTACGTGAGCTCAGTCCCTGAACAGGAGTGCCTAACATACTGGCCACGTGCAGCTAGTCCCTGAGCATTATTATTATTATAATCAAGGGGGAAGCGCTAAACCCGTAGGATTATACAGCGCCTGTGGGGAGAGATGTGGAAGGTATTCAGGCTTCAGGCAACTGGAAAACAGACCCAATTCCCTAGATGAAGAGCCCCTCACCAGCTGATATGGCATACTTTGGTATATATAAATCAATAACAACACTGACTAAGGATTCGAACCCATGCTGCTTTGACCTGCCTCATGGTGGGCGAAAACTCATGACGAATTAATCCACTGGATCATACAATCCTTAAGAGTAGCGCATCCAGCGGAACTGGATGTTGTACAAAATCCAGTTCCGCTGGATGCGCTACTCTTAAGGATCGTATGGTCCAGTGGATTAAGGCGTCCCGAGTTTTTGCCTACCATGAGGTAGGCCAAAGCAGCATGGTTCAAGGCTTTGGCTAGTTGCAGTGTTGTTATTGATCAATACCACTCGTTCGTGGGCACAATATATATATATATATATTATATATATATATATATATAATATAACGAATGAAAATTTGGTGGTGGGAGGTATTTGTTACACGAGTGAGTTAAAGTGTATACTTGACAATGTTGGAGAAGAGGAGGTTGGAGAATATAGTAATGTTTATGTAGACAGCGGAGATTAGGTGTGAGGTTACGAAAATTATATTTCAGAGAACTGATGAGAGGTTTTTTCAACATCTAGAAAGGATAAATAAGAATTACTTAAACAAAAGTCTATATAAATTTTTTGGGGGGAGGGAAACACAGGATGAGAGGTAAAGATACCTTCATTGTTAAGAGTTTGAACATTTATCAGGCTAATGTAAGAAGAATAGGTCACTGAGAAGACTTAAATGGTTTTATGACGTTGTGTGTTGTTGTATGAACAAGGTAAAACTTAAGAGATTTAGAGGAACAGGTTAGTCTTGGACGTGAGAAATACAGTGTCTACACTCTGGAGTAGTGAGGATGTTGTGGTTCAGAGGATCTTTAAGCTGTTTCGCCTTACATCTATATTAAGTATACAGTAGACTCTCGATTAAAAGTTTCTTACTAGACTACCATCCATAAATTACGAAAAAATACAAACATTACAAAAAAAAAATCACTCCATTTGCACTATTTTTGATGCTACTTAAGAAAAAGCTACTAAAAAAACATAGAAAATTCAAGTTTTAGCATGATACAAAGTTTTTCTCTCGTCTGATTGTTCCCTAACTGAGGTGCCTTCTACGGAGTATTTATCTCATTAAAACTCTCATAACCTTCAGAAGTGTATATGGATTTTAGCTGTGAGGAGCAATTGATCCAATAAACAAGTGTCATCATAACCATTTTCCATTTTGAGAAAGTTTTCTCGTCATTTTCGGACGGATTTTCAAAATTTAAAATCACACCAGGGGTACTATTTTCTATGCTGATTCAGAATATACTTAAAAATGCAAAATCAGATTATTTTAGCACCATACGAGGCCGTCTTTTCCCAGTATTGCCTAACAGAGGACGCTAATATTTTTATTAAGATTATTCATTACGGAAAATAACTAAGTTATCAATAACGAATGACCAGAATTTATGATAAATTATAAATTAGGAAAAATACCAATAAATGTTCTATATTATTATCCCTCCTAAGACTGAGGTCGATTAAAATACGGAGAAGTGAAAAGTAGAAGGATCTCTCTCCCTCTCTCTCTCTCTCTCTCCGGGGGTTTCCATTTTGCTTCAATTTACGTTTATGTGCGCGTGGACATTTATTGCAGGAAATGTATCCAACTCGCTGGTGAGATATAATGCTTCATGTAAATAAGATTCTTTATCATGGGAAAAAACAGAGTTTGGAGGAAGACTGTGGTGGAGGCTTGAGGAACCCGTCCCTGTGTCTACTGCCTCACCTACCTTCCTATATACAAACCTACATTATCAACCAACCTACCTTTTACCTACCTATCTGCCAGTTAGTCTCCTAACCCATTCACCTCTTACCTGGTCTCTCTTTTCTGTGCTCTTAGTCAACATTTTGCGCAACCTCCTCGCATCAAACCTAATTACACCTGATACCCAGGCTCTAAATGCCCCTTTTGGGTTTAGAATTTCACCATGAATATATATTAGCTCGTACTGGCTTTCAGACTCCTGTATACCTTGTTATCCAATGATTGGAAATAAACAGTGTGACTGAATTATCCAGGCACTGCCCTACCCCTTTAGGTTTAGCAATTATAATTAACACTTATTTTAAAATAGAGTTTTAACATATTACACCCCAAGAATATCACTATTTTGACTGGATTTATAAAAATTACCATAGACTAAACAGGTGTTAGCCGAGTAGCTGATTAATGTGGTTTAAAGTCTATCTACTACACGAGTCATTAAGTTCTCTCTCGATAGAAAAATATCCTTAATCCCTGTTAATTTGTACTAAGGTTTTCATGTACAACTTTCACACTGCAGAGCAGTGAGGCTCAGCTGTCACTGTTGACATTTATGGAGTGTTGCTAGAGGTAGCATCTGGTCCCTGACCAGTTTACACAGTGTCAGTTGATGCGAGTGTTGGAGTGATGGTCCTGTGTCTTGTTCAGGGTAGACTAGTTGTATAACTACGACCTTCAGAATATCAAGAGTGATAATGGAATGTGGACAGTCTGGTACGTAAAACTAAATCTGGACAGTGGTACCTATACTGGAATGTGGATAGTGTGGCCTTTATTACTGAATGTGGGTAGTGTGGCCCTTATTACTGAATGTGGGTAGTGTGGCCCTTATCACTGAATGTGGGTAGTGTGGCCCTTATCACTGAATGTGGGTAGTGTGGCCCTTATCACTGAAGGTGGATAGTGTGGTCCTTATTACTGAATGTGGATAGTGTGGCCCTTCTTACTGACTGTTGATAGTGTGGCCCTTATCACTGAATGTAGATAGTGTGGCACTTAGAATGTAGAGTGTGGTAGGCTGGTGTTAAATTCACACTTAACACTGTCTTGTATAGCTCAAACATCTGCTATCACAACAGTCCCACAAGTCTAGTGATTTTAACTGATAATCAATTAGACAAACGTATGACTCAAGGTGATCTTTAATGCAAATAATTTGGAAATTCCAAGCCAGGATCTTGGCTGCCAAGTTATTATTTCTTAATTGCAAGATGAAGATATCCCCTTGATTCTTACCACAGTCACCAAGACTAACACCACCCTAGCCACCAGTCACCAAGACTAACACCACCCTAGCCACCAGTCACCAAGACTGGCTAACACCACCCTAGCCACCAGTCACCAAGACTGGCTAACACCACCCTAGCCACCAGTCACCAAGACTGGCTAACACCACCCTAGCCACCAGTCACCAAGACTAACACCACCCTAGCCACCAGTCACCAAGACTAACACCACCCTAGCCACCAGTCACCAAGACTGGCTAACACCACCCTAGCCACCAGTCACCAAGACTGGCTAACACCACCCTAGCCACCAGTCACCAAGACTGGCTAACACCACCCTAGCCACCAGTCACCAAGACTGGCTAACACCACCCTAGCCACCAGTCACCAAGACTGGCTAACACCACCCTAGCCACCAGTCACCAAGACTGGCTAACACCACCCTAGCCACCAAGACTGGCTAACACCACCCTAGCCACCAAGACTGGCTAACACCACCCTAGCCACCAGTCACCAAGACTGGCTAACACCACCCTAGCCACCAGTCACCAAGACTGGCTAACACCACCCTAGCCACCAAGACTGGCTAACACCACCCTAGCCACCAAGACTGGCTAACACCACCCTAGCCACCAGTCACCAAGACTGGCTAACACCACCCTAGCCACCAGTCACCAAGACTGGCTAACACCACCCTAGTCACCAGTCACCAGACTGGCTAACACCACCCTAGCCACCAGTCACCAAGACTGGCTAACACCACCCTAGCCACCAGTCACCAAGACTGGCTAACACCACCCTAGCCACCAGTCACCAAGACTGGCTAACACCACCCTAGCCACCAGTCACCAAGACTGGCTAACACCACCCTAGCCACCAAGACTGGCTAACACCACCCTAGCCACCAGTCACCAAGACTGGCTAACACCACCCTAGCCACCAGTCACCAAGACTGGCTAACACCACCCTAGCCACCAAGATTGGCTAACACCACCCTAGCCACCAGTCACCAAGACTAACACCACCCTAGCCACCAGTCACCAAGACTGGCTAAACACCACCCTAGCCAACCAGTCACCAAGACTGGCTAACACCACCCTAGCCACCAGTCACCAAGACTGGCTAACACCACCCTAGCCACGAGTCACCAAGACTGGCTAACACCACCCTAGCCACCAGTCACCAAGACTCTCTAACACCACCCTAGCCACCAGTCACCAAGACTGGCTAACACCACCCTAGCCACCAGTCACCAAGACTACCACCACCCTAGCCACCAGTCACCAAGACTGGCTAACACCACCCTAGCCACCAGTCACCAAGACTGGCTAACACCACCCTAGCCACCAGTCACCAAGACTGGCTAACACCACCCTAGCCACCAAGACTGGCTAACACCACCCTAGCCACCAAGACTGGCTAACACCACCCTAGCCACCAAGACTGGCTAACACCACCCTAGCCACCAGTCACCAAGACTGGCTAACACCACCCTAGCCACCAAGACTGGCTAACACCACCCTAGCCACCAGTCACCAAGACTGGCTAACACCACCCTAGCCACCAAGACTGGCTAACACCACCCTAGCCACCAAGACTGGCTAACACCACCCTAGCCACCAAGACTGGCTAACACCACCCTAGCCACCAAGACTGGCTAACACCACCCTAGCCACCAGTCACCTCACAAACCTACCAACACAGATATACCGAAATGTAACCACTCACTTGCGTTGAGCTTTTAGAAGTTCGTTCTGCTCAAGGGTCAGCTGTGAATGTCGAGACTGTAGAGCATCCATCTGGGAGGTTAGAGCACTTATGTCACCTCCACCAGAGCTCAAACTGGTTCTCACCTCCTCCGCTCTCTCACTCATGTGCCGAAGCTCCTCACTGATAGCTTCCAGTCGCTCCTGTTAGAAACAGTCAGAGAGTTTTGTTAAGGTAATTATATATATATATATATATATATATATATATATATATATATATATATATATATACTCACAGATTTATTTTAATTGGGAAGAATGTTTAAATCAAGAACTTAAATCTGAATTATTTACACTTCGTCCCTCAAAGAGCTCTCGATCCCAGGAACTGGAGCTACCCCCCTTCCTTGGATGTGTATACACCGAGATATACACACCTCTGCATGTTTATACTGAGATATACACACTTCTGTATGTGTATACTGAGATATACACACTTGTATGTGTATACTGAATATACACACTTCTGTATGTGTATACCGAGATATACACACTTCTGTATGTGTATACTGAGATATACACACTTCTGTATGTGTATACTGAGATATACACACTTCTGTATGTGTATACCGAGATATACACACTTCTGTATGTGTATACTGAGATATACACACTTCTGTATGTGTATACCGAGATATACACACTTCTGTATGTGTATACTGAGATATACACACTTCTGTATGTGTATACTGAGATATACATAGACTACGGCATGAACACTGATATATACACTCCTTGTATGCATACCGAGTTATACACAGGTGTGGGTGTATACAGAACGTGAGAAAGTGCGCCTCACCTGTCTCTTCTTCCACTGGAGGTCGTTCTTCAGGTCACCAGCGTCGTGACCTGAGTCTGACCTGGTTCTCTTGGTTCTGGGCTCCTCCTCACGACCTACAATGGTCTGGGACCTGCTGGGGGAGACCAGAACACACCCGTCACACTCTTATCTAAAACACCGTCTCAGATGACGGAGTATCAAGCCTACACAGTCCTCACTCTCAATGACTAAGAATTATATGCAATCTCTGGCGCTTTATTGATGAATAAGACACCTGTACAACACCTGGGTGTCCTTATTGATGAATAAGACACCTGTACAACACCTGGTGTCCTTTATTGATGATAAAAACACCTGTACAACACCTGGGTGTCCTTATTGAGAATAAGACACCTGTACAACACCTGGGTGTCCCCTTTTTGATGAATTTAAACACCTGTACAACACCTGGTGTCCTTATTGATGAATAAGACACCTGAAAAACACCTGGGTGTCCTTATTGATGAATAAGACACCTGTACAACACCTGGGTGTCCTTATTGATGAATAAGACACCTGTACAACACCTGGGTGTCCTTATTGATGAATAAGACACCTGTACAACACCTGGGTGTCCTTATTGATGAAAAGACACCTGTACAACACCTGGGTGTCCCCTTTTTGATGAATAAGACACCTGTACAACACCTGGGGGTCCTTTTGATGAATAAGACACCTGTACAACACCTGGGTGTCCTTATTGATGAATAAGACACCTGTACAACACCTGGGTGTCCTTATTGATGAATAAGACACCTGTACAACACCTGGGTGTCCTTATTGATGAATAAGACACCTGTACAACACCGGTTTGTCCAAAATTTAAATGAATAAGACACCTGTACAACACCGGGGTTTGCCTTATTGATGAATAAAAACACCTGAAACAAACCGGGGTGTCCTTTATTGATGAATAAGACACCTGTACAACACCTGGGTGTCCTTATTGTTTGAAAAAGACACCCGGGTCCAATAATAACAAACACCTGGGTGTCCTTAATTGATGAATAAGACACCTGTACATCACCTGGGTGTCCTTATTGATGAATAAGACACCTGTACATCACCTGGGTGTCCTTACTGATAAGCAAGTTGAGAGAAACATAAAGGAATCAATCTTAATAAAAAATACTATTGAATCATTAGGGTTTAAAACTCTCAAGGCCTTTCGTGAGGCAGTCAACCATCAGGACCTGCAATGTTGCTTGGATCTCTCCTCTGCAACACTCCCAACTTCTGATGTGTTGATTGCAACACAAAAGGGCCTAAAACAAATCATTCAACTCCCCCATGACATTTTCCCAATATTATTATATATAATATATAATATAATTATATAAATTAAATATATTATATATATATATATAATATAATGGTGTAAACGAGATTAAAAATATGACCGGGAATGGCCCTTGGAGTACTGGTAGCCAGAATCTCTAACAACTTGTCGTGCTAGAGGAAATAACTCATCTCGCCTCGTCAAGAGTGCCGGCATGTACTTGCATATCTGCGCTGCACCCTCGTTGACCGACACCTGTAGCAGACAACAACACTGTTATACACCGCAAAAAAAAAAATTTAAAAAAACAGAAAAAAACCACTGTTTTAGTAAAACGCATGTAACGGGCCCAACACTGTTAGTAAAACGCATGTAACAGGCAACACCTGTTAGTAAAACGCATGTAACAGGCCAACACTGTTAGTACAACGCATGTAACAGCAACAACACGTTAATACAAGCAAGTAATCAGGCAACAACACTGTTAGTACACGCATGTAACAGGCAACAACACTGTTAGTACACGCATGTAACAGGTAACAACACTGTTAGTACACACATGTAACAGGCAACAACAGTTAGTACACACCTGTAGAACACTTACCCACCAACTCTAACCCCTTCTTCCCCCACCCATTACTTAATTACCAACATCCCACAAGCCACCTCCCCCCACTAACCTCCCATTACCACCTCCCTCCCCTTCCCATCCCCTACTTCCTTCATAACTCCTTCCCCCTCCATATCCCTCAACCCACCTCCCTTCCCCTACCCCACACACCTTCTCCCCCTCTACCTTCATACCCCCACCCTTATCCACTTCCCTCCCCCTGCCTTTACCCACTTCCCCTCTTATTATCCACTTCCCTTCCCCCTCCAACTACCCACATCCCTCCCCTCTGACAACCCACTACCCACACTGCCCCTCCCAACTACCCACCTCGTGTAGGGTCAACGGCTTCTCAGGTTTTCTCTTACAGTCAAACCGGCCGTAGATGGCAGCGTATTTCCGTATTTCCTCCATTCTGCGTGGATCATCCTCACTCATGTTCATTATGTACTGTGGGAGAACAACGGTGATTATTGCATATAACAATCTTGTTATACACTCACATAATACACTCACATAATACACTCACATAATACACTCGCATAATACACTCACATAACACACTCACATAATACACTCACATAATACACTCACATATACACTCACAAAAATACACTCACATAATACACTCGCATAATACACTCACATAATACACTCACATAATACACTCACATAATACACTCACATAATACACTCACATAATACACTCGCATAATACACTCGCATAATACACTCGCATAATACACTCACAAAAATACACTCGCATAATACACCACATAATACACCGCATAATACACTCGCATAATACACTCACATAATACACTCGCATAAACACTCACATAATACTCACATAAAAACACTCACATAATACACTCACATAATACACTCGCATAATACACTCCATAATACACTCACATAATACACTCACATAATACACTCGCATAATAACACTCACAAATACACTCACATAATACTCACATAATAACTCGCAAAATACACTCGCATAATAACTCACATAATACACTCACATAAAACACTCGCATAATACACTCACATAATACACTCGCATAATACACTCGCTAAAATACACTCCATAATACACTCCATAATACACTCACATAAAACTCAAAATAATACACTCACATAATACACTCACTAAACACTCGCATAATACAACTCACATAATACACTCACATAATACACTCGCATAATACACTCACATAATACACTCACATAATACACTCACATAATACACTCACATAAAAACACTCACATAATACACTCGCATAAAAACACTCACATAAACACTCACATAATACACTCACATAATACACTCGCATAATACACTCGCATAATACACTCACATAATACTCACATAATAAAACTCGCAAATACACTCGCATAATACACTCGCATAATACACTCACATAATACTCACATAATACACATCACATAATATCACTCACATATACACTCGCATAATACACTCACATAATACACTCACATAATACACTCACATAATACACTCACATAATACACTCGCATAATACACTCGCATAATACACTCACATAATACTCACATAATACACTCACATAATACACTCACATAATACACTCACATAATACACTCACATAATACACTCACATAATACACTCACATAATACACTTGCATAATACACTCGCATAATACACTCACATAATACTCACATAATACACTCACATAATACACTCGCATAATACACTCACATAATACACTCACATAATACACTCACATAATACACTCGCATAATACACTCACATAATACACTCACATAATACACTCACATAATACACTCACATAATACACTCGCATAATACACTCACATAATACACTCACATAATACACTCACATAATACACTCACATAATACACTCACATAATACACTCACATAATACACTCGCATAATACACTCGCATAATACACTCGCATAATACACTCGCATAATACACTCACATAACACACTCACATAATACACTCGCATAATACACTCACATAATACACTCACATAATACACTCACATAATACACTCGCATAATACACTCGCATAATACACTCGCATAATACACTCACATAATACACTCACATAATACACTCACATAATACACTCACAATACACTCACATAATACACTCACATAATACACTCACATAATACACTCACATAATACACTCACATAATACACTCACATAATACACTCGCATAATACACTCACATAATACACTCACATAATACACTCACATAATACACTCACAATACACTCACATAATACACTCACATAATACACTCACAATACACTCACATAATACACTCACATAATACACTCACATAATACACTCACAATACACTCACATAATACACTCACATAATACACTCACAATACACTTACATAATACACTCACAATACACTCGCATAATACACTCGCATAATACACTCACCATAATACACTCACATACACTCAATACACTCGCATAATATACTCGCATAATACACTCGCATAATACACTCACATAATACACTCACATAATACACTCACATAATACACTCACAATACACTCGCATAATACACTCGCATAATACACTCACAATACACTCGCATAATACACTCGCATAATACACTCACATAATACACTCACAATACACTCACAATACACTCACATAATACACTCACAATACACACATAATACACTCACAATACACTCACATAATACACTCACAATACACTCACATAATACACTCACAATACACTCACATAATACACTCACAATACACTCACATAATACAGTCACATAATACACTCACAATACACTCGCATAATACACTCGCATAATACACTCGCATAATACACTCACACAATAACACTCACAATACACTCGCATAATACACTCGCATAATACACTCACATAATACACTCACAAATACACACAATACACTCACATAATACACTCACAATACACTCACATTATACACTCACAATACACTCGCATAATACACTCACATAATACACTCACAATACACTCACAATACACTCACATAATACACTCACATAATACACTCACAATACACTCACATAATACACTCACATAATACACTCACAATACACTCACAATACACTCACATTATACACTCACAATACACTCGCATAATACACTCACATAATACACTCACAATACACTCACACAATACACTCACAATACACTCGCATAATACACTCGCATAATACACTCACATAATACACTCACAATACACTCGCATAATACACTCACATAATACACTCACAATACACTCACATAATACACTCACAATACACTCACAATACACTCATATACTACACTCACAATACACTCGCATAATACACTCACAATACACTCATATACTACACTCACAATACACTCACAATACACTCATATACTACACTCACAATACACTCACATAATACACTCATATACTACACTCACAATACACTCACAATACACTCGCATAATACACTCATATACTACACTCACAATACACTCGCATAATACACTCACATAATACACTCACATAATACACTCACAATACACTCATATAATACACTCACAATACACTCGCATAATACACTCGCATAATACACTCATATAATACACTCACAATACACTCATAATACACTCACATAATACACTCACATAATACACTCGCATAATACCCTCGCATAAATACACTCACATAATACACTCACATAATACACTCACATAATACACTCATATACTACACTCACAATACACTCGCATAATACACTCGCATAATACACTCGCATAATACACTCACATAATACACTCACATAATACACTCACAATACACTCGCATAATACACTCATATACTACACTCACAATACACTCACAAATACACTCACAATACACTCGCTAATACACTCGCATAATACACTCATATAAATACACTCACAATACACTCGCATAATACACTCATATACAACACTCACAATACACTCGCATAATACACTCACATAAACACTCACATAATACACTCACAATACACTCATATAATACACTCACAATACACTCGCATAATACACTCGCATAATACACTCATATAATACACTCACAATACACTCATAATACACTCACATAAATACACTCACATAATACACTCGCATAATACACTCGCATAATACACTCACATAATACACTCACATAATACACTCACATAATACACTCATATACTACACTCACAATACACTCGCATAATACACTCGCATAATACACTCGCATAATACACTCACATAATACACTCACATAATACACTCACAATACACTCGCATAATACACTCATATACTACACTCACAATACACTCACATAATACACTCACAATACACTCGCATAATACACTCGCATAATACACTCATATAATACACTCACAATACACTCGCATAATACACTCATATACTACACTCACAATACACTCGCATAATACACTCACATAATACACTCACATAATACACTCACAATACACTCATATAATACACTCACAATACACTCGCATAATACACTCGCATAATACACTCATATAATACACTCACAATACACTCATAATACACTCACATAATACACTCACATAATACACTCGCATAATACACTCGCATAATACACTCACATAATACACTCACATAATACACTCACATAATACACTCATATACTACACTCACAATACACTCGCATAATACACTCGCATAATACACTCGCATAATACACTCACATAATACACTCACATAATACACTCACAATACACTCGCATAATACACCATATACTACACTGCACAATACACTCACATAATACCTCACAATACACTCGCATAATCACTCATATACTACACTCACAATACACTCACATAATACACTCGCATAATACACTCACATAATACACTCACATAATACACTCACAATACACTCGCATAATACACTCGCATAAATACACTCACATAATACACTCACAATACACTCACATAATACACTCACATAATACACTCACATAATACACTCGCATAATACACTCACATAATACACTCACAATAATACACTCACATAATACACTCACATAATACACTCACATAATACACTCACATAATACACTCACATAATACACTCGCATAATACACTCACATAATACACTCACAATACACTCACATAATACACTCACATAATACACTCACATAATACACTCACAATACACTCGCATAATACACTCATATACTACACTCACAATACACTCACATAATACACTCGCATAATACACTCACATAATACACTCACATAATACACTCACAATACACTCGCATAATACACTCGCATAATACACTCACATAATACACTCACAATACACTCACATAATACACTCACATAATACACTCAC